CATTGAGATGGTAGTGATGGGGCCTTATAACCTCACACATTGGAGTGGTAGTGATGGGGCCTTATAACCTCACACATGGGAGTGGTAGTGGTGGGGCCTTATGACCACACACATTGAGATGGTGGTGGTGGGTCCTTATGACCACACACATTGAGATGGTAGTGATGGGGCCTTATAACCTCACACATTGGAGTGGTAGTGATGGGGCCTTATAACCTCACACATTGGAGTGGTAGTGATGGGGCCTTATAACCTCACACATGGGAGTGGTAGTAGTGGAACCTTATGACCACACACATGGGAGTGGTAGTAGTGGAACCTTATGACTACACACATGGGAGTGGTAGTAGTGGGGCCTTATGACCATACACATGGGAGTGGTAGTAGTGGAACCTTATGACTACACACATGGGAGTGGTAGTAGTGGGGCCTTATGACCACACACATGCGAGTGTTAGTGGTGGGGCCTTATGACCACACACATGGGAGTGCTGGTGGTGGGGCCTTATGACCACACATATTGAGATGGTGGTGGCGGGTCCTTCTGACCAAACACATTGAGATGGTGGTGATGGGGCCTTATGACCACACACATGGGAGTGGTAGTGATGGGGCCTTATGACCTCACACATGGGAGTGGTAGTGGTGGGGCCTTATGACCACACACATGGGAGTGGTAGTAGTGGGGCCTTATGACCACACACATGCAAGTGTTAGTGGTGGGGCCTTATAACCACGCACATGGGAGTGGTAGTGATGGGGCCTTATGACCACACACATGGGAGTGGTAGTAGTGGGGCCTTATGACCACACACATGCAAGTGTTAGTGGTGGGGCCTTATAACCACACACATGGGAGTGGTAGTGGTGGGGCCTTATGACCACACACATTGAGATGGTGGTGGTGGGTTCTTATGACCACACACATGGGAGTGGTAGTAGTGGGGCCTTATGACCACACACATGGGAGTGGTAGTGATAGGGCCTTATAACCACACACATGGGAGTGGTAGTGATGGGGCCTTATGACCATACACATGGGAGTGGTAGTGATGGGGCCTTATGAACACACACATGGTAGTGGTAGTGATGGGGCCTTATGACCACACACATGGGAGTGGTAGTAGTGGGGCCTTATGACCACACACATTGTGATGGTGGTGGTGGGTCCTTATGACCACACACATTGAGATGGTGGTCGTGGGGCCTTATAACCTCACACATTGGAGTGGTAGTGATGGGGCCTTATATTAAGTTATAACCTCACACATGGGAGTGGTAGTAGTGGAACCTTATGACCCCACACATGGGAGTGGTAGTAGTGGAACCTTATGACCACACACATGGGAGTGGTAGTAGTGGGGGCTTATGACCACACACATAGAGATGGTGGTGGTGGGTCCTTATGACCACACACATTGAGATGGTGGTGGTGGGTCCTTATGACCACACACATGGGAGTGGTAGTGATGGGGCCTTATGAACACACACATGGGAGTGGTAGTGATGGGGCCTTATGACCTCACACATGGGAGTGGTGGTGGTGGAACCTTATGACCACACACATGGGAGTGGTAGTAGTGGAACCTTATGACCACACACATGGGAGTGGTAGTAGTGGGGCCTTATGACCACACACATGCGAGTGTTAGTGGTGGGGCCTTATGACCACACACATGGGAGTGCTGGTGATGGGGCCTTATGACCTCACACATGGGAGTGGTAGTGGTGGGGCCTTATGACCACACACATGGGAGTGCTGGTGGTGGGGCCTTATGACCAC